TGAAACAAAGAATTCAAGTTGCACTTAACAGGGTTAAGAGCCCTAACTGGCCAGAGACAAACCAGCTGGCTATTTAAAAGCATGGCCAAGGATTTGATTTTGGGACCACTGTGAACCAATCCAGCTAGTGGTCAGAGAAGGACTTGAACTCTGGGCCTCCAAATTGCAAGTCCGATGCTCTAACCACTTGGCCACGCTGCCTCCTCCTCATGAGTACAGACAGTTGACACCTGGAAGGGGGAGGGATGCTACCATATATGGGCTACAGAGGAACATGTATATATGATATGAAATCAAGCAGTTTAGCCTGGGATAGGGTATAACAATCACAGAGTTTGGGCCTTTAATATTAAAGAAACTGATCAAGTGGTTCAAGATTTTAGTCTAGACTAGAAAACCTGGGGACTATCACTCACAAGTAAAACAAAAAAATTAAATCAGCAAATTCAAATTTATGTGCAAAGCAGTTTAACAGAAAAGAAAGCATCAATTGTAGTTCCTAAAAAAAAATGACTCTAGGATAGGGAGGGATTTTGGGAGTTTTATTACAGGGTGGCAAAACTCAGCTGAGCTACATGTACATCTGATTAAGGTTTCCAAGGTCCCTGGATCGAGAGGTACATGCCCACCCAAAAATTCTTGAATTACACAAGCACTTGTGTAAGCAAGTGAAAATACCGGCAACATAAGGGGTGGCGAATGGTAAAATCCGAGACTACCCGAGACGCCGAGATCCTAGTTAGAAATCCGAGCCCGAGACTCTTTGCTAAAAAGTTTCGAGACTCAAAAAAAGGAAAAACAAACCATGCAAAAACGAGACTTCGAGACTTGTCAAAAACACTTCCGAGATTTCGAGATTCTGCCAAAATTTTCCGAGACTCACGTTTTTCAAGGTACCATTCGCCACCCCTAACATACAGTAAGCATAAGCACAAGAAAAATGGACATGTTCATTCTTCTTGTGCTTATGCTTATAAGCACAAGAAGAATGAACGAAGAATGATGCTTCTTCCGCCATCTTGTTTATGTCCTTATGCTTTTGCTTATACACTAGAGAAAACCAGGCGTTACAGGTTCCTACAAAACCTGGGGAACCTGTGGTATGATAGACTGCAGTGATAGCCACTTATCCAGCCTTTCTAGACCTAGCAACGGTGGGTACTTTAAAAAGATGTTTATAGCACACTGTAGTGATCAAAGATCGTAAAGACTTGGACACTCCTCATCGCCGCGCCAAAAATAGCAATTTATAAAACTGCGCAAATCAAACCATGTATCAAACCTGTAATTTTCAAATTCAAGCGTGTTCTATTGCTTGATGATACACTCTTTCTTCCTTCTTCAAACTTACACACAGCGTGCGAAGACAGCACAAAAGATAAGAACAGAACTGCTAAAACGAAGCAGTAGAACACCGAGTCAAAATCAATCATCCACAAAGGCATGGCTGCTGAAGAAATAGCCGCACTCGTTCAGAGCTTGCTCCTTGAAATCAAGAAAAAGTGAAAGTTCTTCCGAGGCAGCCAGAGGCCGTAGAGGCATTGTAGTGTATTCTCAATTACTCTGCTTAACTTCAATATTCCATGACAAGTATGTTAAAACAATTTTGAATGCCACAATGTCAGTCCCTTGCAGAAGAAGACATTTTTCGAAGAAGTGCGAAAAAGAACTCTCGAAACAGGTTGAGCCGCCATCTTGGGATTCCGATAGCGGGAGGAAGACTGGAGCGAGATTCTATGACTTTTCTCCAAAGACATTCGCTTCTCGTTTCCGGTTCCGGTAAGTAGGTCCCTCCGCTTTCTAGCTCGCTTTTCCACAGAGAACATCAAAAATTTCTAGCTCGCGCTTTGCGCTCGAGAAAAAGTTTGAGCTCCACTTGTGGGCAAGTCTAGGAAATCCCTATTAAAAATGGATTGGCTACATATTTTTTGCAGGAAGACCGCTTTACCCAAATCCAATGAAATGCAAGGGTCATGACTCATGAAAAATTCAGATCTCCTTGAAATACTGAAAGTCACTCTGCTGAGCTCTTGTCGATTTCAAACTCAAAAAAAAATCATCGAAACTCAAATGACGCTAACTAAAACACTGTCATCGTCATTTTGGCAGTTATTTATTTGCCCTTTCACAGACTGAATCATAGAATAATTATACCTGGGCAGCACCTCTACGCAAACCTCTTTGGGAGGATAGACCCTAAATTTTGGCAGTCACGTGACCGTACGCGCTCCGTCCACACCACAGTATAACCAGTGTGAAATGACTTTTTAATTTGAGTCGAATCTGCGTGCAACCTGACGGTGTACTGTTTCTTGATGATAGACGTCCATGTTACCGACTTTTAGGCCCCGTCCACACGAAGACGATTGTAAACGCAAACGCTAGTAAACGCATATTTTTATCTCCGTCCACACGAAAACGATCATCGTTTACGTAGCGTTTTAACTCATCCACACGAAAACGCTCGTAAACGCATAAATTCGAAAGTTCTCTTTCCTGATTCTTCTGGTATCACCACTTGATCGGCAAAATTGTTCCACCAGGCGCTTGTACGACCTGGTCTGGTCCAGAATCTTCTCTCTTTGCTCTCACGTCTGCATCTAAGTCGTTTTACTCGAGTAAAAGTGCTTGTAGTTGTGGATAACAATCTTGAGAGGTTTAGTCTTCTTCTTTTGTAGTTTTCCTGTATATCGATTATTGCATGATTCAATTGAATGCTCGCAATTATGCTTGAAATAAGCGCAAGCATGACACAGCTCAACACTCGTGTGTACGCCATCTTGGAAACGCACTCGATAAAAGAGACTGGCGCTGACATCTGACGTCAGCGTTTTCACAGCGTTTACGAAAATATACGTTTACGGCCGTCCACACGAAGACGCATAAGCGGCGTTTTCAAATTTATCCACTTTGGAGAGCGTTTTCGAATTTATGCGTTTACGGTGAGCGTTTTCATCGTCTTCGCGTGGACGGAAGGCCTAAACGCATAAAAAAGTTTGCGTTTACTAGCGTTTGCGTTAACAATCGTCTTCGTGTGGACCGGGCCTTAGAGGAAAAAAAAAAACAAAAGAAAAGAAAGCCGCCTGAGTCTCATTTTCGACCAGGCTGACGCGGATAACAGAGAAAGAGCTAGAGCGAGAGATAAAAACAAACAAACAAAGAAGACAAATTTCGTTAGAAACAAAACATAAAAATTTTATAGCGGTGGTGAGAAAACGAGAAATGTTAGTGGCCAGTAAACTGAACATGCGCGGTATTGAAAAAGAAAGCGAAAAGGAACCCAAGCAGCCAATTTTTTTGTGAGAACATACGACATTTCCTTCGTAAAACATGTGCCTAGAAAGTTTCACGCTGTGGTCGTGCAACAACAACGGTAAAGAAAAGTACAAAAAAAAGTACGCTGCACGTGCAATACTGATTTTTTGCTAATTAGACCTATCGTCGTCGTTGTTGTTGTTGGTGTTTCTTGGCCGTTCTCAATGCCGTCGCCGTTTTGAGTAGCATTACACGACTATTTTTTGCGTGAGTAAATTTTAAGTATAGTAACGAGAGCTTCGCTTTTAGCCCTGGCTTAATCTATATATAGGACCAGTGTGTTATTTAAATTTTGAACAAGAGATGATCCTTATAATTTTCTTTTGTAGCCTTCTTATTGGTTCTAGTCTTGTTGTGTTTGTGTTTCCCCATGCAATGTTTCCATAACTTATATCGATAGATCAATGCGTAGCACGGACCTTGCATAGCAACGCGACAAAGTATACCGGAATTTGTGCAATGTTGCTGCAAACATGACTTATTTGACTTTTCCAGTTAACATTTCCGTCTATATGAACTCCTAAGAATCTGGCTAATTCTACCTGTTTGATAGCTGAACCGTCTAAACTAATGACTATAATGTTTACATGCGCACGCAAGTAAAATTACGTGCGAAAATTAAATCGGTGAAGGTAATATGAAAGGTTGAACGTAACGATCCGACAACGGCCACGTCCATAAAAACGTCGTTAAAAAAAAAAAAAAAAAAAAAACTTTGCTTGAAGTGACGTGTTGCCTCATACGGAGGCAACGTGGCCGATTGGTTAGAGTGTTGGAATTGAAATCCGCATGCCCCGACTTCAATCCCCTCCCTAAACGCTAGCTGGATTTCTTCGTGATAGTCCTGAGTGCAGCTTCTCAGTCACGCTCGTAAATAGCCAAATGGTTTGCCTCCGGCCAGGTAAAATTCTTAACCTCCTTCTTGTCCACAATCCAAACTACTGGTTTTAATACCATAATAGTTTGTGTCACCCTTATAAAAGCCTTTTTTATTCCAAGTGCTACGCGGGCTCTTGAATCAAGGGTTCTTTGATTTCAGTGGTTGAATGAAAGAATATACTAAAATTCATTAAACAAATACACTAAAAAGGGCATAAAAAGTAATATACATGTCACCGATTTCGACCTGGGGTTATGACTCATGAGCCCTGGTACAACCAGGGGAAAGTGTGTTGGGGAAAACCAACAGTAAACAAGGCTATGAGGACAACTTCTTTAGCAAAGCGCATTTCTACCAATTACTACAACTGACAGACACCCATAGAAAAAATAAACAAATGTAAATGAAGATATGATGTCGCAGTGGTAATTGCAAATTAAGCAATTGCAAATTAATCCGGAAGAGATTTCAGAACTTCAACGGGATTCAAACCCATGGCCTCTGCGTTAGCGCTGCAGTGCTCCAACCAACTGAGCTATGAAGACCCATACATTGGGAGCAGTTCACATCATCATTCTATAAATAACAAGAGAACCACTCTTAAAAAGCAAGCAAATAAATAAATAAAGTCAAAGCTGACACCTGTTAGATCGTTTGACGCTGTGGTAACCGGTTGATCTTGTTTTGCTGGACTCTTTGTGCTGATCACTACTGCTCCTGATGGCAGAGTCTTGGTGACAGCTACTCGCGTAATAGTCTCGGTTTCGACAGGTGAGGTGACTGGCAGCTCCTGTGGCTTCATCTCTCGAAGTTTCTTTATCGCATTCACACAGAGATTCAAGTAAACCTGCCGCCTGGTGCTCCGTTCGTACAAGGCTTGCTCCTCTTCCACAGCCTGGAAAGCAAATTACCAAGTAGTAAATAAATGGAATTGACATTTTACGGTCTCTCACTTCGACCGTCTTTTGAAACCCTTTCACTACCAAAAACAGGCGTGATCAGATTATGAGTGATAGAAGGTCCAAACGCGCGTGATCAAAGTGCGTTCAGTGCATTCCACTCATTCTTAGTGGCAATCCCAACGAATGCTGGCTACATACATGCGACGCATGCGTAATAACAACTTGGAGATTAGGATTGCGGGTCCCTTTTGTCGCCTGCAACTACCATCAAAGCAACGTTACCTTTTCAAATGCTTCTTTTTCGGTGGGATAGATTCTTAGACACTCATCAACAATCCTGTCAAGGTACCTCTGTCGTTGGTTTTGAGGTACCTTAGCACCATATTCTATAGGAATTCTAGGTCTCGGCAAAGATCCAGCAGGGGTAGTGTTCTTTGACACATGTGCAACACGTTTCTTTACAGGCTTGAAGCTGATGGTGTTGACTGAGGCTTCTGCTGCTGATCCCTAAAACAAATACCACTGTTAAATAACAATGCAGGAAAAAAAAGTGGCATTCATTTTGACAAGGTTGTAGAATGTAGTTTATTGTTCATTCAAAGTATTCTAATAATTCTTCACAACCAACTGGTGCTTACCATAATTTGGATGCAAGCAACACACCATCGAGTCGATGTCATATTTGCTTGAAAACGAGGTTGATCGATGGTATATTTGCGTGGAAACGAGGCTGCATGGGCATTAGTGAACTAAAACAATGGCGTTCACGGCTATCCGAAGACGAAATAGCTCAATTTCTGACTACAACTGAGAGTACAAAACGGAGCCTCTTTATTCCTTAGCTGCTACCTAAAAACACACTAAGTTTTGTGCGAGCACCCACCACGCTTGTTGAAGAAGAACTTGTTGGCTGATCTTTCTTCTGCATTGTTGATAATGTCTTGGGGTACCTTCGGATTGGATTAGCATTAGATGACAATCTCCTTGGTAACTGCAGTGCAAAAATTCAACAAAATCAATTAAGGTGCAACCTAACATAACAATGTATGGAGAAACGTGCGTCAAAATCTTAAGGTTCCGGTCTTTTAAATGATTGCCTCACCTCTGTTCTTAGCATGATAATCATAGAATAATTGATTTTTACACATATCGCATATTACTTAGCCTCCTTTTCTAGAACGAGGAATATTATATTTGAAGCGCGCTAAATGACTCGAAAATAGGGGACTAAGTAACTGCATGGGGCGAAATGACTGGTTACCGCTGTGATGTACAATAGCGAGTTTAACCAACAAAGACGGCGACGGCTACGAAAACGTCCGGGCTTAATAAGTGAAGTCGCGCTGCATCAAACTTTATCGCGCTTATTCCATCTCGTTCCTTTCGTCAAATGTTGGCAATTTTCTCGGGAGTTGAATTCAAAAAGACTGTATCTAAGTTCAGGAAAAGAAAAAGAAAGTCGCTGTCTTGTGTTCACTGTGTTCACGTCCTCCGAAAAACGTGAAATTAGGCAGTTTCACGTGGTAATCGTGCACTGACGGCAAAGAAATGTACAAAAAAGCATGATGCACGTGCAAAGTTGTTGTTTAGCCAATCTAAACCAATTGCTTTTTTGCCATTCTCGTTGACGTCGACGTCGTCGTTGCTTAAGTTTCCTAATATCATACACTAAGCGCTTACAGTTTTTTGTAACAAACCTGTCCAGGTTCGTTGTGGGTTCTGTACAGTACCGCAATCATTTAAGGTCGAGGATCATTTGCGGTCCGTTTTGGGGATCATTTGCGGTACTGTTCAGTTCTCACCCTTGCCCTGAAAGATCATACATCTAGTTTTCCCCTCACCTCAACAACCAAGATATTAGGAACTTTAAGATCCAACGACGCGAATCGCTATCAACTCTCGCCCACTAACACAGTGATCAGCAGCTAGAGCCCCATTACTTTAAGTCTGCAGTTGGGGAATTGAACATCTAGAAAGTTATATTAGTTCCATTTTCCTTCTGATTTCCTGTGAGGGTGGCCAGGGGTCTTGTTCTTAATAGGGTTCTTTGGGAGAAATCTCTGCCCCCCGGCCCTGGGCTCTTAGTGGGGAGTTTAAGCTTCACGTATACGGTAAACGGCAAACGTCAGATTCAAGTTGAGAATTTCTCAAAATAGAACATGAGCAGGTAAAAACAGCTCAAAACAATAGAGTACCGAAGTGTGACGTCATAGAAAATGAAATTTCTGAAATTATGGGATTTGTTAAGCTATTCTGAAAGAACAACGTCCAAGACGCCTACTCGCCAAAAATTAGCAATTTGAGGCAAATTGTCTCTGAGATATTAGCCCAGTTATGCTCCGATGACTCCATACAAATCCTTCTAAATTTGGCTTGGTTCATAAGATTAGGAACCAGGTAAGATTTAGAAGGATTTGTATGGAGTCATCGGAGCATAACTGGGCTAATATCTCAGAGACAATTTGCCCCGAATTGCTAATTTTTGGCGAGTAGGCGTCTTGGACGTTGTTCTTTCAGAATATCTTAACAAATCCCATAATTTCACAAATTTCATTTTTTTTGACGTCATCACTTCGGTACTCTATTCTTATATAGATAAAAAATTGTGTGAACACGTGTTACAAATTCGCGTTTGCCGTTTGCCATAAACTTGATGCTTAACTTCTCTATAAACAAACCTACAAGGTCAATGGATCATTTTACGTTTCTGGGAATCTGCCCACCTACCCCTCCCCTGTGCCAACATTTTGCCCTAAGTGACAAGTACAGTCGAACCAGTATTAAGCGGTCACCCTCGGGGAAAGGCTAAGTGACCGCTTAATACAGGGTGACCGCCTAAGTAATACAGGGTGCAAGAAATACAGTTCAAAGAATTCGATCTCCAGTGCTGATCAGATTAGACGTTTGACCTCAAATAGAAACATTCATTTTTGGCGTTTTAATGATTTGTGACTGTAAGTGTTAATGTTGGCTTAGGGGAGGGGTAGGTGGGCAGATTCCCAGAAACGTATAATGATCAAGGTCAATTGTGCAAAGTTGCATTACTGTACACCATAACAGAAGCCCTGCTACTTACGTGATTAGCTGTATGCGCCACACGCTGCTTTTTCCCAAACCCTAATGTATCTGCCATGGAAGGCTTCTCCTCAGATGCTGTCGCTGCTGCAGCTGCCGCATAAGTTTTCTTCCTCTGGACCTCAGTTACAGTTTGCGTTTGGCTTTTTACTGGTGACTCTTCAACCAATTCAAAGTCGGGTTCTGGATCATACTCATCCCAAATCTGTTTAAGATGACTGTCTTCCTCAGAACTTGAATCAGCATTTGCTGTACTCAAAGCATCACTGTCATCGCTTATCAATATTGTAACACCTTTAGAAAACTTTCGTTTTAAGTCTTTCCGCTTATCCAAACTTCCGGTCTCCACCTTTGCGGCTCTACCAGTTTTAACTGGATATAACATTTCTTTAATTTTCTTTGGTCTTTCTGCTTTGCTACCTTTTTGCTCTTTTTTAGATCCAAAGAAATTTATTTCAGCCTCAGATATCACTTTTTTCTTCGCAACAGGTGAAGTTTCCACAGAATCCTCCTTCACAGAAATCTTTCTTTTTAAAGTCTTAGCACTGCCATCAGTTGGCTTTTTCTTTTTTGGTATAACATAGGGCACTTCTAGCACTGGCGTGTCTTTACCAATCACAGACATTTTGGTAGAACATTCAATTTCCTGAAATGATTTCGATGCAGACTTCAAAAATTCATCCAGTGCAGTACTAGGTCGTTCTTTGTTACACACTTCACTCCCTTTCAAAATTGCTGATTCCTTAACTTTTTTAGAATCCTTTGATGGACCAGCAGATACACTTCCATCTGTAATACAAGTTAGCTGCAATGATTTCTTTTTCTTACTGACTACATCTGATAGAGATGTCTTGTCTTGACATTGTACAGCTGAAGGCTTTGTTGTTGTTTTTGTTGTTGTGGATGTTTTAAGAGGAACAGATTTCCTTCTGTTTAGTATTTTATCAGTTTTTTCCTCAATATTAGCATTTGCATTTTCCCCAGAGATAGCAACATCGTGTTTTTCTGCCATAAGAGTACTGCTTGAATCCACATGCATTTCAACTTCCATCTCCTCTTTCCCTTTAGAATTAACCAACGCTTTATTTGTTGTATCCTTGGAAATCTCGACTTTTATTTGAACATCGTTAGAAGTATCAGTTACATGTAAGTTCACATTCATAGCCTTTTCACTGCAGGCAACAACATCTTTGCTCCCTTTGTTTGTAAGAGCAGAAATACAATTGTTTGAACTTGAAGGGCAACTAGAATCTGCAACTAGGGAATTTTTCGTTTCTGGACTTCTACCTGATCCAGAGTCACTGCTTATACTGGGTGGGTGCATCATGAGTCCAATAATCTGCTTCTCTTCATCAGTGAGAGATGCTACAGGCTGTTCCATATCATCAAATGACTCTGTACTACTTTGTTCAGTTCTCACTGAGTCAGCCATGCTCGTATTTTTACCTTGTTTGGGTCTTGGTGAATCTCTATGGTTTGACTGTTTGGTGATTTCTTCACCTGACTTTTTCAAAATGCTTTTAATGGCTGTTGTTGTTTTTGCTGATGCTGTTGTCGTCGTGGTTGATGTCTCAGGTTTGCCATCCTGATGAACAGAACCTCCTGCCTTGATGTCAGAAGAGGGGCCTTTAGATAACGGTTCCACATGTCCTGCAGAACGATGCTCGTCTGTTTTCAGCTTGTGAGGGGAGATTTTACTTTTTGATGCCTTTAATCCTGTAGCAATAAAACACAAAATCTCTTTTGCTTTCCACCACAAGCAGACCCCTTTATAAAGCACAGAAGCAATGAAAATTTTCAACCCCTAATTCCCAAGGGCTCCACATATCTGGGCATTTCATTTTCAGAAGAGAAAATTTCCCCAGTACATCTCATCCATAATGGGGTCAAAATAAAAATGCCAAAACATCCCTTCTTCCCTAGCCTCCCACGCAAGCGTTTGTATGGGAGCTCGCAGTTCGTCCCTCCCCACAAACACCTGCTCAACCAAGAACAACATTCCTTTCCCATTGTTTTATTTGTGTGGTAAGTGACCAACCAACAAACACGACTCATAAGCTCATGGTAGTGCAAAAACGTGACCTTAGAGTTACCTTTTTCCTTCTTTTCTTTCCTTCGCTAGGGTTATGCTGTGCACAGAGTTTTCTAAAATCTAAATCTTACTTTTGCCACCCTGAGTCTAACATTTACTATTAATTAAAGGTCATAAAGCTTTCCCAGTGTTTCATGCAGATCGAGTAATTATCAGGTTTCCCTGTGGTGAAGGTCAACCTTTTGGGAAAGGAATGTTGTTCTCAGTTGAGCAGGCATTTGTGGGGAGGGATGAAATACGAGCTCTCCTAACCCTCCCCTAAAAACCTCTGCGTGGGAGGCTACTTCCTCCACCCCACCCCCCCCCCCAAAAAAAATCAACGCAATCAAAACAGAACCATATAACCTGGAAGCATCTAAATTCTCCTTATTATCTATTAAGAACCATGCTGGGTTCTTTAGCTGTCCAATCAGAAGCAAGAAAATTTTTTTGCCCAAATATGAGGTAATATGGAATCAGAATCAAGAAGTGAAGGTACATGTATCCCTGTCTAAGAAGTAGCTAATAATGGATTCCTCCTAGTCCTTGACAATTCTTCAATTACATCCCTACATGTAACTTAATAGCATTCCCTGAGCCATTAAGATAATCAACGGAAAAAATATTTACATTCACAGGGAGTAGCCGATGAGCGTGCATTTATTTGTGGGCACTACACTATGCGCTGGCGTGTATGAATTTTTTGCAAAGACTTTCGATTAGTGCTTTCCCATCTCAGTGCACATTGTGATACATTTTATGTTTTTCTGACCGGCCTTTGTGCAGTGCTCTTAACCCTCAGATGTACACTCAAAGTTATTCCCCCACGGTGGTACAGGGGGTGGGTTAATGGACCCCTTGAGTTTTTAATATGTTGCAGTATTTTGAAACGATTTTGCCTTCAGTGGAAATCCTTCGATCTTCTCTACAGTATTTTTTCTGGGT